AAGTCGGTGCACCGCGCGCCAAGCATCATATTTGTATGATACCTCTATCCTGTAAACTCTCGGGAGCGCCATGTCGTGACGCTACTCTTTTCCTCAGTTAATCTCACGTACTCGATCCAGAGGCAGAGAGCCTTTGAGGGTTACGAGAGGTCGGTTGTCTTCGCCGGCTTAATTCGATCGGGGAATATCCACCTAATACCGTCACGCAGAAGAATGAAGCAGCTACAAGAAGTATTGGAAAAATGGGCGGTCATCATCAGAGAGATCAATACGGATATGGTTTTGGCCGATGCAATTGATAAAATCCAGGACAGTTTACGTGGCGTTTTGGATGCTATGCGAAGAATCGTTCGCCCGCTCTGGGGTGGCACGACACCTTCAGAAATGAAAATGTATGTGTTCCCTGGAACCATACCGCATCACTATGACTAAGATTCCCTTCCTAGTGGTCAAACAGACCAACATTTATCTGACGCTCTTCCGGAAATACTTGAAGGACTGGCGCAGGCCGTCGACGAGTTTATCTCGGGTTTGAGTGCTCTGCCATTTTTGAGTCATGTTCAACGTCGCGTCGTGGAGGAGGCGCGTCGGCCGCTACTCGACTTCAACCGAGACCTGTTGTATTGGAGTATCAATTTACGCCAGTTCTCTGGTGGGTCCTCGACATGTTGTCTGCTGCTCGCCAATTTAATGTGTGTTGCTTTAAGGCCATTTGTATAGAAATGCTCTCCGTCACCACGTATCTACAGTAGCTGACTGCATGTCAGATCATTTTGACAACGTGACAAAACCGCTCGAAGAATTCCTTGACTGTGGTAGTGACCGCACATTGACACTGGAATCCCAAATTGACCACCTGCAACAGGTTTGTACATGATCAGGTTTTACGAACGACGTCTAGCATTTCAAAATTTGTCAACATTCGCCCTCTTCTTCGCTGGAGTGCCTGCATTCAGCATCCAGTTCAGGTGACTCAAAGTGTTCTTGTAGTTATGTTCGAATGCTGAAGCTGAGCTGTGAAATGACGTTAGTTGCGATGGCCGCCACGAGTCAACATTTCAAGCTGTCGAGTTTTTGTGGATATTTTCGCTTTTCTTTTCTATCGCCAGTGCCATCGATAGTCAAGTGAGTTATCAGTGAGTATTTTGAGATTATTACCCTAGCCTCAGACGTTTAATTGACCTGAATATCATAGATTGTCTTCGGCTGTGGACATCAAATCGGGTGCGGTACCCCCAATGTGGGTCTCAGCATGGATTGTGACCGCCCCTTTTACATCCCTACTCATATCGGTGGGATCGTCAGTGATCCATCTTGTTGTCTGCACACCTCGCTAACGAAATTATCTGCGCCAGGTTCGTCGTAGGCATCGCCCTCTTCACATTTTTGAAGTTTGTCAATGCTAGATATGCCCCCGTTTGTGTAACCATTGCTCTGGCAATATGGATCACGGGGTTAACCTGCACGTACATGTGGTTCTTTATCAATCTGAATCTTGGATCCATCGCGAAGAAGTGGGTCGGGGTATGTAGACGCATTTTAACACTATAATTCACTTAAGATTCACTTTTTATCAGAATATTTTCCACATACATAACATAGACAAGAATCCAGCTCGTCCTAATCCCCCCGCAGCCAATCAACCTCTTCCCCCGACATGGTCGATCAGACGCAATACCTTTGCACCTACTCAGTGGGACCGAATAACACCTCTCCTATGGAAACCAACAAATGACAGATTGCGGAGGCTCACCATGCGCGTGATCGAGGATAATCGCCTGTATGGTCCCGGCCACAACTCTGCTCAGATTAGGCAGGAAGATAATTGGAGGATCGATAGCAACAGGATAACATTCCCTTCGGGGGTGTATTCTGAAGAATGGACTGGGGTTCACGTTTCAGCTGTTCACGACATCCAGTTCAGTGCAGACGGAAAGTACAGAAAGCGCTAGGTAATTATGGTGTAGTTCGGCTCAATGAGTATTGGTACTGGCAGTGGCAACCTGTTCGCAGGATGAAAGGATTGTCATTTGGATTGTAGATTCGTCCAACGGTGCCAATGTTCTCCATTCGTCGCGGCCCAATCTAGCCTCTCAGCCTCTTCGTCTTGCTTGGCACCCCAACATAATCCCTCTATTGGCGGCAATGCCAGCTAGGGGCACCACGTTGGTCACCTTTGATTTAAGGGTACGTTTCATCGCGGACACGAATACCGTACCCCATAACAATTGCTCCCTTATTAGGATGTTAGTCGACCCACCATTAGTTCCTTGTCGGCTATGCAAGGGCCAGTGAGGGCTATTGCTTGGATGCCGTACAACGAGGACCTCGTTTATACTGAGAGTTATTACATCCGGTGTATTGTGAGTTTTATTACTGTTCTTACAATTCGTTGTAATAATCAAACACGAAGAATCGTAAAAGTGTCGAACAATGGAGTGTCGAGCTTCCATATTCGCTTGGTGAAGTTGCAATAACCCCAGATGGTACTAGGTGGGTGTTCTTGTTGATGCGGATCACTCGTAGCTGAGTGGCTTCATGGAGGGCCATCGTGGTTGGTACGGTGGATGAAGTGGGTACAGGGGATACCGTGAAAATCAAGCCTTCAAGATCCCCCCCTGAACGAAGGATTATCTGTGAGTATTCTGAACCTGTTGTTCACGATCTCTGGTCTGACCATCCTCAGTAATCAACATAGAAGGACGACAGATAATTTTGTCAGTGTGATCAATTATCAAGTCTTCTGTTGTACTTGGGTTCTGAGCTGCTCTCATTAGTGAGACGCCAACCCTAAACCAAGTTCGAAGTTTAGATGTATCCTCTGCTGGAGCCTTGCTACTCGTTACGTACGAGGGAAAGGTATGACATCGTTTTCGAAGTCTCTTCGGACGCCAACGCTACCCTTCGACCCGGCAAAGGCATCTCCGCAGCTGTTCCGTATTCACTCAGCAAGGCTGGTCCTTTTGCAAACATACTGCTTGCCCGAAGAGGTGGAATACTCAGGTTGTGGCCAGCTCGGTTTCCCTGACTGGACGTTTGGAGTGGACGGGCCACACCGCGATGATTGTGTTGTGATGTGTGCTGACAAAAGTGAAACATTCCCTTCAAAGCATTTTCCACGGCTTACGTTTATATAACGAGCAGAAGGCACCATGTTTATCTGGGATCGTGAATCATCCCATCTCTTAAAGACCTTGGAAATACCTCTTGGCCCCGCTTCTAGTTTGACTGGATTTGCATGGAATCATGGGTCCTTTAGGAACCCAATGATCGCGGCTTCTTTGGCAGATGGGACCATTTGGCTTTATAACCCACAGAGGCTGGACCCTGGCGTAGCTGGCCAGCAGAGTACGATTGCAAGCGCCCACCCCTGAAAGCACGATTCATGGAAAACTTCGAATGAGATGACATATGTACATATACATATGTCACGCTTGTACGCACAAGTTTAACAAAGGCTGCTCACAATGACCAACGCAGAGGCCTGCATTTAAATGATCGATAATTCCAGGGAACGACTTGTACGAACAATCAGCGTGTCTACATATAGCACGAAACAATGGATATGCGCCGAGGCAAGCTCTGGGAACATAATCATGTCCACCACCGCTGGGTGTTGGCGGAGATGTTAGAAGTCAATCAAGTACCAGCAGCCCAAGAGTCTTCGATCAAAGAGAGAGAAAGTACGTACCGATAGTGATGGGTAGGCTAGCTATAGAGTGCTTGGATTTTGATCTGCCCCCCCAGCGAGTACGTTTATGGTGTTTTCCTCTTGAGCTCAACTGAACGCCGACACCTGAAGCTAGCGTAAAACACTTAACTGGTAACTGACTTGACTGCTAATCGCACTAGCGATGGCGAAGAAAAGTGAAAGTATCCAGAAAAAATTGACGCCTTTAATTGAAGAGTGCGGTGCCTTCAACTTTGTCGTCGTAACTGTAACATTTCCGCATTTGTCTCAGACCCATAGCTGCATTGGTTGCTGGGGCACGGGCATGCAGTTAATGCAATGACCGGATGGCAGACGCGGCAATGTCCACTACTCGTCTCCCCCTTTTCCTTTTTTTCAGAAATAATCCACCTGCTGTCATCAGACAGCAGCGCAAGAAAGGTGACGAGGTTGGAAAAGGGAGGTATGAAATGGAACCAGGGTGGTACGGTGTTCCAAATTCCTGAAGCACCTGTGTTGTTTGGGCACCGACTGTTAGCGCCTTCCATCGTCCATGACCATGATGCACTGGCATCAAGCGTGATGCGGGGAATCGTCCACGAAGCGCAAACCCACCTTCTTGTCTGCGTTAAGGTAGACCACTTTCCCCCTACCTTTTCTCCACGTGGGCCGAACGGACTGAATGACGAGAAAGTCGAACGCGACGGTTCGTGAGAACGACACTCATCCCAGACTAGCAGCCGTAACTGGCATACCGAAACGTGCACGGGGCAAAGCGCCGATTGCTGGTTAGTGTCCTCCACCATCCATAAGACAAAGCACACTTACCGATGTGCTGCACAATGCATGCCTGGCCACCGTCAATCAAACGTCAACGAACGGCTGCATCCTCAAGTACATTTATGGTTTGAACAAACTTGTGCACGACCAACAAAGCGGTTCAAGTCCCACTCCCGCAAATCCTTCAGCCGCCTAGTACAGCTTCGCACCGGCCATGCGTTCATCGGACAATTCTACAAACGCTTCCTACCAGAAGAGAACCCCAGTTGCACATGCGGAGAACCCGTAGAAACGAGAGAACACATACTTCTCGAATGTCCCAAGCACGAACACCACCGAAACTTGCTCCCAGACGATGAAGGCGAACTGATCCTTGCCGACCTCCTGGTGGACGAGAAAGGAATAGAGAGGGTAGCAGGTTTTCTGTCAGCGAGTGGAGCATACGAGAAAGAGAGAAGGACAGAATAGACACACCCCGAGATATGACACCGCTGGAAGGCGGAACCCACCCCATTTTCGAAACCGACACCTAAAAACGGTCAACCCAACACGACAACTCAAAAGTGGAGCAGCATTTGGGCAACGCCTTATCAGAGAGATCAAGGACACCCGAATCGGACCTATTTCTTTATTTTCTCACCTTATTTTTGTATTTATCTCGACCCCTGCCCTTGGCGCTCTCACGAGCAGCCTACAGTTTGCAGGTTAAATATCCAGAATAAACAACAACAACAACAAACTTGTGCATGTTGCATCTTCCACCTCTCTTCCCACAGCCCCATACAACAGCTTGATTGAACCACGGAGCCCGGCCCCGGTCGCAAGTCATCCCAAAAAAAGGCATCCAACCAGTTTCCTCGAAAGCACACTTGCATCCCCGTGCACCAAGATGTTATGATGTTAAACTGTCACAATGTCAGTTGACCGCCTCGTTGTTGATCAATTGAAGACTCTCAGGTGGGCAAGGGGTATTCAATTAAATTGGCGGTGTTTCCATGCATGGCAATCGCAGTCTGTTGCTCCCATATCGCCCTCTCGGTGAATAGTCATTCATCATCCTACCGGCTGACTGTCAATTGAAAGACTGATAAGGGCACTGATATTGTGTCGTTTGCAAGACACGTAAATGGCTCGTGCATACGCTCAGCCGTTGTATTGGACAACTCGTGAGTGCGGATTAGGCCCATCATTTGCTCTGCCACTCGGACGGACGTTCTCCCGGGGTGTTTTCCCCGGCCGATGTGAGGTGCTGAGCAAGACTGTCCTGATGTGCAAGGCTAATGTGCATATTCAATCGTTCGTGGCTTGGGGCAGTCGATCATGGCACTGACATCTGAATAATTTATGACAGCTCATGGTTCGAACAAACTTGCGCATGTTGCATGTTGCATCTTTCCCCCCACAGCCCATACAACAGCTTGATTGGGCCAGGGAGCCCGTCCCCCACGGCAAGTCATCCCAAAAAAAACCATCCAACCAGTTTCCTCGATGGTTCCCCATGCACCAAGATGTGGGTGTTGGGTGTGATGTTAAACTGTCACGATGTCAGCTGGTCGCCTCGTTGAAGACTCTCGAGTGGGCAGGGTACTGAATTTACAATGTTTCCATGCATGGCAATTCCAGTCCGTTGCTGCATACCGCCCTCTTGGTGAATACGCATTCATCTCACCCTACCAGCTGATTGTCAATTGAAAGACTCTTGGATAAGGGCACTGATACTGTAAGACACATCCATAAATGGCTCGTGCAGACACTCAGCCGTTACATTGGACAACTGATACCCATTCGGAGAAAACTCGCCGAGCCGATTAGTCTTGAGTCGCTTTCTCGCTTTCTCGTTCTTTAAATGGCTCCCGTTACGCCCTTGAAAAAGGGGCGGACCCCAAACCCTCCCCCCCTTTGCAAGGAATAGTGCCGTGCCGGCTAGTTGCTAAGCAGTTCAGCAAGTCTTACTACCCGTGTTCAAGATACTAGGCCCTTCATTCAACTCCCCTCTCGGATCCGGCCCTGCTCACCCTATAACCCCCCTCCAATGGCGAATACTACCGGTCCTATCCAAGTCGGCGGACTGCGCACTAGACACGGTATTTGTATGATGCCTTTCTTTTGCAAGTGACATATCGTGACGCTGCTTTCTCCCTCATAGCCAACATAACGTACTTGGATCAAAGGCGGAAGGCCTTCGGAGACTACCAGAGGTGGGACGTCTTCGTCGGCTTTGAGATATTCACATTAAACTATGGTGCAGAAAATTGGAGCAGCTTCAAGAAGTATTAGAAAAATGTGCGACTAACGTCAGAAAGATCGGATTGGGAAACTTCAGTGCCAGTTACAAAGTGCTTCGGATGTCATGCGAAGGACCATTTGTCCGCTTTGGGGCGAAGCGACACCTTCAGAGGCGAAAGAGTACGTGTCCCGTCCCCAGAACCATGCTGCAGCACTGTGACTAGGGTTGCTCTTTTAGCAGTCAAGATCTGTCCGACTCTCTTCCAGAAAAATTTAAGACACTAGCGCAGCTCCTCGAAAAATTCGATTCGGATTTAAAAATTCTGCCAGGTTTCGATCAAGTTCAGTACCACATTGTGGAGGAGGTGCATAGGTCGCTCCTAGGCCTCAAGCACGACCTGTTATATTGGGATATCAATTTACGCCAGTTCTCTGGTGGGTCCTCAGTGTGTTATGTGCTGCCAGTCAATCTAATGTGTGTTGCTCCAAGGGAATTTTTATAGAAATGCTTCCCGTCACCACATATCCACAATAGCGGACCACATGTCCGATCATTTGGGCGACATCACAGAGGCGCTCGAGGAATTCCTTGGTCACGGTATGTGACTGTAAATTGACACTGGAACATCAAATTGACCACGGTCTGCAACAGGCCTGTACACGATAAGGTATTACGAACGACGTCCAACATTCGAAAATCTGTCAACAGTTGCCACCCTCTTTGCTGGGGTGTCTGCATCCACCATCCAGCTCAGGTGACTCAAAGTCTTCTCATAGCTGTGTTTGAATGTTGTAGCTGAGGCATGGGAATTGTGTTAGTTACGACGGCAATAAGAAGAGATTGTTCGAAGCTGTCCAATTTTTGTGGATTCTTTCACTTTGCCTCTCTATCGCTAGTGCTATCAGTAGTCAAGTCAGCTATCGGTCAGTATCCTAGCATCACTGCGCTGGCTTCAGATGTTTAACTGACCTCATACTTTAGATGGTCTTCAGCTGTATATATTAAGTCGGACCTGACACCCCCATGGTTGGTTTCAGCATGGATCGTGACCGCCCCTTTTACATTCCTAGTGATATCGGTGGGATCGTCAGTGATCAGTTTTGTTGTCTGCACCCTCCCTCACGAAAATACCTGCGCTAGGTTCGCCATAGGCATCGCCCTCTTCACATTCTTGAAGTTTGGGGATGCTGAATACATCCGCGTTTGTGTAACCGCTGCTTTGGTGATATGGACCATTGGATCACTCTTTGTGTACATGTGGTTCTTTATCGACCTTAGAGTCATCAAGGCGAAGAAAAAGAAGTGGGTCGGGGTGCGTAGACGCATTTCATCATTGCTGAGATTCACCTAACATGCACTTTCTATTGGTCTCCAGATGGATGACATAGAAAAGATTCCTAAAACCCCTGTAACCAATCAATCTCTTCCCCCTCTTCCCCCGGGACAGCCGATCAAACGCGAACCCGTACTCAACCCCGACACGAATGCACCGCAAAACCCCAGACTCGTTGTCAGAAAGACCCTCGAAGCCTCCCAATGGACGGATATCATCCCCCTCCTGTGGGAATTGGATATTACGCCTTCACAATACAGGCGGGCTACTTCAAATTTCCGCAGGCTTGTCATGCGTGTGGTCGAGAGCAATCGCACACCCGATCTCGTCTACAATTATGCCCAAATTAGGCAGAACAGCAAGCGGGAGAGGATAAGTAGAACAAAGGATGTGGCCACTCTATTGGAATCGCAGGCCGACGAATGGACTGGAATGCACGTTTCGGCTGTACACGATATCAAGTTTAGTGCTGACGGTGACTACCGTAAGCGCCAATCTAACATCCACTAATGCAGATTGTTCTGCTGAGTATCGGTGCTCATAGTGGCAACCTGTTCGCAGGACCAAAAAGTAATGGTCTGGGCCATGCGTCCGGAGGTCAAGACCCACTTTTCATTCCGGTGCGATCCAAACACGCAGCCGCATCGCCTTTCTTGGCACCCCAAGCATCTTTTATTGGCGGTGATGCCAGTCAGAAGTGCTGACCTGGTGATCTATGATCTTCTGGTATGACCCTTCGCGAACTTGAATGCCTTGTTTCGTCATTGCTCAACTATTCAGGGTGCCGCCGTCAGTTCCTGGTCGCCTAAGCAAGGGCCAGTGAAGGCTGTTACGTGGATGCCGAACAAAGAAAGCCTCGTTTATACAGAGGGCCATCATGTTCGGTGTTTCGTAAGTCATCGAGTTGTTCCTACAACCCATTGTAGTAAATTAAAGTCTGAAGAATCGCGACGGTGAAGAATGGAATATTGACCTCCCATATTCACTTGACGAAGTTGCTGTTACCCCGGACGGAACTAAGTGAGTGTTCTTGTGGAATGAGGATGAGCTGCAACTGAGCTGCCTTGGTGATGAAGGCTTGTTGTAGTTGGCACAGTAGATTCCGTGGAGGTTGATGGGAAGCAATTGAAGCCATCAAAGTCCCCTCCTGAGCGAAGGATCATCTGTGGGTATATTTGTGTGGCTACTATCTGAAGCTTGAGGACTCAACCATCTTGCCAGTGATCGAGATAGATGGACGAGCGAAAATTTTGTCAATCTCAATCTCAATCTTAATTATCGAGTTTTCTGAAAGTCCTTAACCGCTTCCATTAGCGAGACGCCGACCCTAAATCAAGTTCGCGGGTTGGATGTGTCTTCTTCTGGAGCCCTATTGCTCGTCACATATGAAGGGAAGGTATGACGCCGCTTTCAAAGTCCTATTCGATGTTATTTCTTCGTTAACGTAGGCATTTCCGCAATTGTTCCGCATTCACTCAACATGGTTGGTCCTTCTTCAAACGTACTGTCCGCCCAACGAAGAAGTGGAATACTCAGGTTGTAGCCAGCTTGGCATCCGTGGCTGGGCATCTGGAGTAGACGGGTTGCGCATAGATGAGTGTGCTGTGATGTGTGCCGACAAAAGTGAAGGATTTCCCCCTTGGCGTCCTCGTTGACTAATAGTAACCGTCCATGGGTTCATAGAAGGCTTTATTTTTATTTGTGACCGCGGATCATCTGATCTTGTACACACATTGAGAGTACCCCTTGGCCGCGCCTCTCACCTGACTGGGTTTGCATGGAATCACGAGCATCCAACCATTGCAGCTTCCTCAGCTAACGGGACCATCTGGTTTTACAACCCCTAGGGTTCGGGCGCAGAAGATTAGTGTAGATTTTTAGCTCCTTGCAACTTTTAGGTTTGAATTATGATGGACTTTTAGCATTGACACAATTATGCTGTACGATTACGAAAGACTTGCAAGACACCCCTACAAAATTTTGCATGGGGCTGGCAGCAGCGCTATTTACTTACTGCGTGATTGGAAAAGAGATGAAAGTGTGGCCAAAGAAGTTGAGTAGTGTTCGTGGGTGGTGTTGCGAGCATTTGGTATGATTTGGACTTCGGTCGAGGATGGGGGTGCAGGCTTGGGGAATTCACCAGGGGCACGGATTATGGCGATCAGAAGTTTCGTTCAGAAGATCAAACGGTACCATTCCACTTGCCTTACTGACAGGATGAGTGATACACAATCACACAAGGGGTCATCATGTCGAGATTGAATTGACCTTCCAGTTCAAGTATGTTCACTTTTTTGGATTGCACAGAGGGAATTAGTGATGCGTAAAAGATCATCTTAACCATTGTATAATACACTCATTTTTAACATGATTAAAACTGTGTTTTACAATGTGGTCCATTGCATTTTACCAGGATTCCTTTACCACGTTAAAGGAGGTAGATGACCTGTTTTTTAATGATTCTCCACCATGATAACGATTGTAAACGGTCAATTTACAAGGGTGCATTTTGTAATTTACCGGTTGGATTTCATCATTTACAATATTGTTAATTTGGTGAAAAACGTGGTTATTTATCGTCATTTACAACTACATTTATGGCGGAGACTCTAGGTTACGTTGCGATGAATAGCAGTCATTGCAAGTGAGGAAATGAACCGAGTTGAGGTGAACAAAAGACACAAAGGTCAATTCGAGGAGTGACGAAGAAGAGCCGATCCGGAAAGCATAACGCAGGATTGAAGCCTTGGGCTCACGAGAAAAGTACGGAGTTGAGTGCGAGCAAGAGATGGGCAGCATAAAAGTCGAGCATTGATTCGATTTTGATGAGGTTGATTTGACAGAGCATAACCTAATGAAAGTGGAGGAAGTCTCGGGCTGTGAATAAGACGGTAGAAGATACCATAAGTGAACTTCAACCCTTGCGCACAGCTTCGCGAGGCAGGTTAATCGATTCAGACTTTCTTCTGTTGTGGGGCTGTCAGAGTCGGGATTATTGTCAGAGGCTGGGATATTGTCGGTGTCGGAGATTGTGGCAGAGGTCTGTTGGAGCGCGCACGTGCGGATATGCGGGCGGAAATATGCGGCGCGTCCGGAAGCGCTGTTCAAGGTTAGCAGAGTGGGATCGCGGCCTCAGCGACTCAGGTGGAGCGCTGTGCCCTGAGCTTGATGTTTGGGGGAGATCCCGTATTTACGGATTGACACTCACAGCGGACTTCAAACAAGACTTGCGGGCGGAGCGGACCTATAGGAGGAGCGCGGACTCCGCGAGCACGGACTCAGAGGGGGGGAAGCCCCCTTTGCAGAAGGAGAGACTCAGACCAGACAGGGGGGTACTCTAGTTGATTTCAGACTGGGGTCCCCGAAAGTATTTACAAGGTATATAAATAGGCAAGAGGGAATATAGAAAGGCCGGTCAGTCCGGCGCAGTCCGGCACGGAGATAAGCGGGAATTGTCAAACTAAATAAGGACAAGAGCCCGGGAACTGGAAACGAGGGACAGATCAATAAACAATAAGTGGCAAGGGTTATTGATGAATAACTGAATGAGATCAATAACCTAGTGCCAATAAAGAGGGGATCAAATGCCGATATTGGCAGGGAAGCAAACAATAATTGGCACTCGGCAAGGAATGAATGATAAGCTGCCAAGTGACAAATGGCCAGAGGAAAAGCGGAGGTCGGCGCGCGGCGCCGATACAAGTCCGCAAATAAGCGGGGTCGGTGCGGTGCCGACACAAGTCCGCGAACAGAGGTTGATCTGCCAGCACTGTCACACAAGGACAGCATGAAGGCCAACAGAGGTACAGAGGGGAGTGGGAGTGTTGACCTGACCAGAGGTGTCAAGGGCAACCAGAAGTGGCCAGAAGGTGCAGAGATGGGCAGAGGGTGCGGAGTGGGCAGAGGGTGCGGAGTGGACGGAAGCGGGGCATGGCCGTGACCACATAGCGGGAAGCGATGAGTGTGGTTCAGATGGAGACAAGGCAGGCGTGACTGAATGCCGGGAGCGCCAAGGGCTCAGGAACTGGAGGTAAGGTCGGAATACCGGCAGGGTCTAGGTTCTGATTCTTGGCCAAGTCTCACGCAGTAAGGCAGGGGGCCAGACATGGGGTTGGGGGCTGGTTAGGATGGGTTTCGGGTCGGCGGATTCGCCTATCGGCATTGGTTCGCCGCTGACGGAGCCCCGGGATTTGTCGGTCATGACAGGGGCCATCATAGTGACGACCACGGGGGTTCTTTTTTGGCGGTACTAGTAGAGGTGGTTGTCATCAGGCCTTGGTCATTATCATCGCTTTCGAATTCCAGTCGCATTTTTTGGTTACTAGCACAGGGGGAAATTAGCAAGGCAGCAGAGGGAGAAGAGGTAGTTGGGAGATAAACTAATGAGCGCACATGGGGCCAAACTATGCCCTAAGCAGATGCACGAGCTTTTCTACCACAGGTGTGACCCTTGGGTAACATAGATTCCTGTTTGCTGTGAGAGGCTTGACGATTTTCTAAAATAAATAAATAAATGCTATTTCTCATTCACCAATGAGTTAAAGACGCGTAAAGACGCGTTGAAACATGTCCAGATGGAAGCCATTCATGGCATCGCTGTCAGTGAGGCAGCATGCCCAGTGTCCATATTCATAAGTACTTGCCACTTCTGAGAAGAGTAGCTAGTTGCATAGCGAAAGGATAGTCAAATTGGGAGGAAATGAGCAGGTTGCAGAACGTGTATGGTATGGTGGAGAGGATAAGGCACTGAGTGGAATGGAAACTGCCGAGAACAACTTAGTCTGATTTCAGTCTAAGCGCCACAGTCTCTGCTTACATCTTTAAGTGCCAGCTTCCATACTTGGGGCTCCTCGCGACAAGAAACATTCCTGACAATTCCACCCATCGCAAAGTCGCGATCTAGTTTACTAATGTCTACAACAAGCCGTACCAACATATAATCGAGCTCTTGGTTATGCCTCGCTAGGGAAATCACGCATTGTCGGGGGAGATGACAAAGTTTCCACAATGTGGGCCCAAAAACGACGAATTAAATTTAGGAACTTATCCTTCGTCTGGGTAGGAGTGTTTGAATTTCATGGCTCTCACTATTGAGCTGAAGCAGCTGTGGACTCAAATCCCCGAGCACGTCACAAAACGTCGCTTGTGAGAACATGCGTCACCTCGTTGACCTTGTCTCAGATAGCGGTGCTTACATGGATGCTGCCTTGGCACCGACCTCTTTTACTACAGTCAAATTATCGCTCTCGCTTCGGTCTCTTCAGTATGTGGCCGATTTCCCTATGGTATGTACGCATTCCCGTCGTTGGGCCATCATCGATCGCAGTTACGAGCTCGCAAGGTCAATCGACGACGATGACTAACCGAACTCCGGCCGTCCATACCTCTGACCTTTGTACAATACATCGCAGCTCGAATACCATGAATTGAGTGGTAATTTACGCAGGGAAGAGTCTGGTATTTAGCATCGTGAAACGTATATTGTAATTTACAATGAAAAAAATATCACGAAAACAGTGGTAAATGGTCAAAAACCAGACCAAAAATGGTTTTTTACGGCCATTTACTTCCCACAGTGATTGGCGGATCGATAGCTCCAGGCGGCTCGTGTTTCTAAAAGCTGGGGAGAGTTACGATCGAAGCGCTCCGGTTGGTCACCTTACCTTTCTCGCTCTCTCAATGGCTTGCCACGCACCAAGCGACATTCCGATTGCGTTCACTTACCATGGTGTATGCCTACATCATGCTCAAGCCTCACTCTCGCTGCGAGCGACCACTTATGCAAACAACTTTCACATTGTCTTGGGGTTCATTTAACTACCAGGCTAAATATCGCGACGGCATTCACACTATCTGATCACCGGGTCACGCGTCCGTGGTGTATACCTACATCACTCTCAAGCCTCACTTGACCACTTATGCAAGTGGCAGCTCCCCCGGTCTTCGTCTGTCAATCGTTCCGTGGCTTTAGAGCGCACTAGGCCGGCAGAAAATGCGATTGCAGGAAAACAGCAGCATTGCAAGGGCGAAAGGTTATCTCCCGGACTTGCAGAGCCATCAGTCGGGCAGGTGTTAAAATTATCCGTAGCTAGACTGCGGTTCCTAGAAGTGGTCCCAGACACTAGAACATCCAGTGAGGTTGTAATCAATAAGTTCCAAATGTTCCGTCAACAGATACGATTGAAGAGAAGATCGTACAGGTATACGGCGTAAAATTCAAGGTGCCGATGCTGATGAACGTCACAGGGCAGGACATCGTTCTCTCTCTCTCAAAATCGGGTACAGAGGACAACAGCCAAAGGCGCCCTGACCTTGTTCACTAGGTACATAATAGGCAAGCTTATGCTTTATCGCTGCGTTATATGATGCACCGCCGTACTAGGAAGTATTCGAGATCATAAGACAAGATCGAAATGGGTGTGAGAAAGTTCCAGCGTTGAACTATGTAAAAGCAACACTGTGTAGCACAGATATATACTACTGAAATAAGGGTACGATACTTTGCTCACTACTCGGCATGCGTTGGAGGAAACGGGTCGGAGAATTGAAAAGCCAGGTCATTGGATTGAGACCCTGGCACTGCGAAAAGCTGCCTCATAACATGTGCTTACATCAAAATTCGATCTTAAGAACCGAGCCGTAGGTGCTTCAACAGCCCACTCCTGAACTCTGTGAACGGAGCACAGTGACCCATAACTATAATCCATCAACAATTTCCTTTCCATGAGTAATTCTACCGGTTCTAGAGCAGTCAGCGCACTGTCCCCCAGCCATAATGGTATAGGTATGATGCTCCTCTGTCTTCTCGCGTAGCAGATCTTGACACTGTCTCTTCATCACAGCCAATCAGAAGTATGCTGTGGAGAGGGAGAGAGCCTTTGCTCAATACAAAAGGTGGGATACCTCCAGGTTTCTTCAACCAGCCTGAGGTACATGCTGAACGACCGCATAGCAAAATAGAGCAGCTGGACACCGTTCTAACAAACTATTCGACCAACATCAAGACGCTCGATGTGGATACGGTTTTGGTTGGGGAAATTGCTAAACTTCGGAGCCATCTGCACGATGTCTTGGCCATCATCGAAATCACCATTCAGCCTCTTTGGGTTGATGCGATACCTTCCGAAAGCAACGAGCCTGGGAAACCCAGCGACGCCACCAAGTCCATCTCCTCTAGTAGTTCACAGGATGGCCGTCGTTCCGACTCTCTTCCAACGGACCTTGAGGCACTGCCGCAATGCTTGGAAAAATTTAACTCGTCTTTGGATCTTCTTCCGGGTTTCCAGCAGATTCAATACCGCATCGTGCAGAAGGTACATCAATCACTCCTCGATCTCAAGCAAGATTTGCAATACTGGAGCGTCAATTTACTCCAGTTCTCTGGTGGGTCGTCGGTCCGATGATGCTGCTACCCAATCTCAATGTGCTGCCTTAAGGGAGTTTTCATAAAAATGCCACTCGTCATCACGTATCTGCAATAGCAGACCATATGTCACTTCATTTAGACGATATCACAGAGGCCCTCAAACGGCTTCTCGAGTTAGGTAACTAACCGGATGTTAGCACCACACCATTGGATTGACCACGATCTGCAACAGGGTGGCACACGATTACGTATTATGACCGACGTGGCACGTTCCAAGATCTGTCAACCACTGCCGTCTTCTTTTCTGGGGCTGCTTCGTCCAGGTGGCTCAATAATTCTTTGTGTCTGGTGGCGGCCGAGCCACTGAGATGCCACAGTTCCTTCAGCAACGACAGCGCAATCGGCAAAGCCATCAATTTCTTCTATATAGTGTCGCTTTTCCTTTCCATTGCCTGTGCGGTTAGTGGTCAACTCAGTTACAGGTATTCTAGTGTCAGCATCCCAGCGTCAGTTGTTATATGAACCCGATTTCATCGCAGGTGGACTTCGGCCCCCCACATCAAACCGAATGTAAGACTCCCATGGTGGGTCTCGCGATGGATTGTGGACATCCCTCTTACACTCTTGCTTCTATCGCTGGGATCGTTAGTGACCGTTTGAGCTTGTGTAGGGGTTTCTCTCTCACAAAACCATTTGTGCTAGGTACGCCATCGGCAGCGTGCTTGCCACTTATGTGACGTATGTCGGTAATTCGAAGGCCGTCCCCCTCCTGTCAAGCATTGCGTTAGGGTTATGGGTCTCCGGGTCACTCGCCGCGTGGTTGTGGTTCTTGGTTGATCTTACGGCTATCAAGCGCAACATGCACACCAATATGTTCAAGGTACGCGAAAACATCTGCCATCTCTACAATTATTATGATTCACTTGATATTGCGCCCCTTTCCTGCGATTTGACTGAAGGATATCCTCTCTGCGCCCCCGGCGCATCAGGTAGTGTGAAGACAGGACCTGAGTCTGTTCCATTCCGCATCTAGTTACCTCAAACAAGTGGTACAGTCAAACTTCCAGGACGTCCCGGAGATAACTCAGTCCTATACTGATGATGACCTAGAACTGCGCGAAGCCCCGGCAGTCCAACGTGTTCTCCCTTCTACTTCATCTCATCAGGGGAACCGGACCGTTACCTACAAGTCCTTTAAACCTGACCAGTGGGACCAAATCCTACGGAACCTGATTCCCATGGCTCCTCGAGCAAACAGGTTTCGAGAGCTTGTCTGGCAGGTGGTTAAGGCTAATCGCCAACGGGTTCCAGAGGAAGAACGCGTTCGGACTAGGCAACGGAACAGTCAGGAGAGGATTAGAGGACTGAGGGATGTGGTGATTTCCTTAGAGACGCAAGTTGAAGAATGGACCAAGTTTCACCTCTCGGCCGTACGCGATATCAAGTTCAGTGCCAATGGAAGCTACTGTGGGTGTCATTCCTGGTAGGGATCAACTTGGCTGAATGTCGGGGTTCGTAGTGGCAACCTGTTCGCAGGATCAAAAGGTGGTTTTTTGGGTAGTGCATCCAGAACTCAAGGTTCACTGGTCATCACGGTGCGGTGCAAACTCGTGGCCTTCTCGTCTCTCCTGGCACCCCAAAGATCCCTTATTGGCAGTAATGCTCGCTGGAAGTGCTGGCTTGTTAATCTATGATCTCTCAGTATGTTTCATTGCCAACATGAATCTGTTCCTTATCTCATATCGTTGCTCGATTACTTAGAATGCCGGTCCGCCCACTGACAGTGCCTGGTCAGCAACGGAAGGGCCAGTGAGAGCGATTGCTTGGATGCCGGGGGGAAATGGTCTTGTTTACACGGAGGGTTATTGTGTTTGGTGTTTAGTAGGTCCTAATGTTTTTCTGATAATATTTTATAATAACTTAAAACCTGAAGAATCATGACGGTGAAAAATGGAGTGAAAAATTGAGCGTTGAACGTCCGTATTTGCTTGACGAAGTTGCTGTTACTCCAGACGGAACTAGGTGAGTGTTGGTCTGTGGAGTAAGGATAGTCCGTTACTGAATTGCCTTGGCTGAGGCTCATCGTGATTGGTACAGTAGAGTCCGTGAAAATCGGTGAAAACCAATGTAAACCATCAAGATCTCCTCCTGAGCGGAGGGTTATCAGTGGGTACCCTTGAGGCTGACACTCTTACTTGGGACCCGAGGGTCTGATCATCTTCACAGTGGTCGAAATGGAAAACAGAACGACAGTTTTGTCAGTCGGGTGGATTGCCAATCTTTCAGCACCCACATAGCTAACCGCTTTCATCAGTGAGATGCCAACCCTAAGCCAAGTCCGAAGTTTGGATGTATCTTCTTCAGGGACTTTTTTACTCGTCACATACGAAGGAAAGGTATGGTGCCAAGATCCAATCAGACATTTCGCCACTTTTCTCCAAGGTGTATAGGTACCTCCCCAATTGTTCCGCATTCACTCGACACAACTGGTCTTACTGCAAACGTACTATCTACCCAAGGAAGATGTGAAATACACAGGTTTTGGTCAGCTTGGTATCCCTGGCTGGACATCCGGAGTGGATGGGCCACGCATCGATGACTCCATTGTAATATGTGCTGATGAAGGTGAAGCTTTCCCTCAAGGTGTCTTCTTCGACTTACCACCCATATGAGTAGAAGGTTCAATTTGTATTTGGGATCGTGATTCGTCTGATTCTCTACATGTATTGAAAACTCCCCTTCGCGATGACTCTCGTCTGACTGGGTTTGCATGGAACCATGGGTCCATGACAAACCCGATGATCGCAGCGTCTTCATCTGACGGGACAGTCTGGTTTTACAAACCATAGTAGTCCACTGCTAACATAATACGAATTTTGACTTTAGTGTTAGGGTTCGTTCTCCAGGCTGTATTCATGGGAGATTCGTGGCGCTAACATGGTAACCTGAAAGTTGCGTAGTGCGTGCACCCGAACAGAATTCGCAGGACAATAAGGTAGGTGAAGGCTAGACTATGCTATATAACTCGTTTCAGATGCCCCTTCGAAATCCCTGAGCTCTATTTTTTGTGGCTCATCTGACTGGGTTTGCGTGGAACCATGGGCTTATCGAGATTCCAACCATTGCAGCTTCCTCAGCTAACGGGACCATCTGGTTTTACAACCCCTACGGTTCGGGCGTAAGGGATTAGTGTAGATTTTTATTGCGTCTCAGGCTTCTCGCAACCTCTAGGTTCGATGCATCTAGCACTGACACGATGGCTAGAAACCGTATATGCTCAGGAAAGGCTTGCAGGATGCCCTTATTCCCTTCGTAGAGACATCGTCGCATGTTATCCACCAAGTCCGAGCAGTCAGGTCTGAGAGGTCGTTGATCCTGCCGGAATGGATTCCAAAGCTGCCCCAATTTCATCCCCAGCTCATGTGAACATCCTACCGTTGAATGCTATTCTCCGGGCTTGCGCACTCCGACGACCTAATATGGTGTCGCCATACGTCATTACAATATCACTAAGACTCTATTTATCGCGGAGGTGCAAGATAAAGTGGAGACACTTTGAAAGTCGCAAACCCAGAGTTTGTGCGAAGGTGTTATTAATGACCTGTTTCGTGAATTGAACCTCGTCTCAATTGTAGCACGATCGAACTTGAAGACGACGTCATTGACGTATGATCGAGAGACGACAATCTCTCGTGAAGGTGTCAAAGCCCAAAATCTTCTCTTGGATCCTGAGGCATTATCACGATAAGCTAAAGGTGCGCACGCAGAAACAGCGAGGGGGACGCACTGGATGAACATCCGAAACGGGATTAATTGCGATGCGAAGGCAAGATATTGCATTCATGCACTCCATTGCGCATCTGGGGAAAGGAAATTTCCACCGTTCACCCTCCTCCTGTCGAGGCTGCCAACAAACCGCCAAACAATCCACAGGGGGGTTCTTCCTAGAGGTGACCAGCCTCTATTAATTGGAGATCACTGCACCCAACATAATATACGAATGGTAAAATTGTATTTCTCACCCAGGTGTGCAAGTGGGTACCGGTGCAATCAGTCGAGGAGCAATCATTTACTTCTTGGCAGTATGAAACTTGTGATCATCGATATGATTCGTGTCCCTGCAGTGGGTGAGTTCCCTTCGTGTCGTCATCCTAAGCCCAAACGCTCGCAACACTGCCCATGCACAAACGTACACTGAACCTTGTCTGCACCGGCGTGCTATCTTTTCAAGTCATGCTGTATGCCTCCAGACATCGACACGTACTAACCCACAACCAATCAACTAACCGATGTGACCGATCAAGTCGCTGTGAGAAAAGGGAACAGTTCATTTTGCATGTTCGTTATGGGACTACTGTAGTTCCTTAGAAATATCAAGATTGAGTTGACCTTCGCGAACTCCCCGGGCAGATCAGTTGCAGCTGTGAGGCGTGCACAGATAGCTCAACGGGGCACTAGCCTCGATATACGTGACTCTGTTTGGGAGTAGGGGAGCCGATTGTGTCATTGATCGCACGAGGAATCGAAAGCTGTCGTCCCCTCTGGGAGGGGACTGAATTCAAATTTCAAGGCTCTAGCCCCAAACTGGATGGCTTCATCGTTGTTGATTATGTATATAGTGCAAGCCTTCATTTGAGGCAAACTCACCAAACTCGACCCTTTGTGCACCGTGAGATTAAGTTGTTAGTGAAATTGATCACTTCATGACATTGAGGCTTCTGCATGAACCTATTACGAAGCTCATGTTTACCCATGCCCCATTGTCGCACCCGCTGTAAATTTTGTCAATTGAGCACCGAACAGGTGATGTCCCCATACGCGGCAATGGAATACCTGACCTCATGGTAAATATTTGCGCTCAACTGGATCACCAAAACGACTTGCTTGAGTTCACCGCTGGGGACGGGGCGCCTCATTCCATTCCTCTCAAACGATGATGGAGCTATGACTGAGGGCGAATTGGGCGCGTCTAAATCCAACAGAGGCGGAGCTCCTGACCATGATTACAGATTAGGGAAGTAGACGTCGACTCGAACAAGATGATCTATTTCCTTGAACTCCTGGAGATGTTGGCAAGCAAGATGAAGGATGTAGATAGCGAGAACAAGACTAGGAAAGCGTTCGAGGTATTCAATGGAAAGCCCGAGAAGAACTACCTCACCGCTGTGGTGAAGTCGAAGGAATGATCGAGGAAACCGATGTAGATGGTGATGGCCGGCTTATCTACGACAGTGAGCACCCATCAAAGCACAAGAGTTCTTCAGGGTTCGTTCAATTGCTTAGGCATCGTCGCTTTTCCTCACCTTGCTGTTTTTTAGATAGTGCTTGCTACCACATTTCACGCGCGCGACAGATTTCGGAGGCAGGTTCATATCAAATTCCATTATTTCAAATCATTGACGTCAAGTCATAGCGTCGCCGCCGAAGATAACAATATAACAATAAATTCAGCCTGTAGAAAGCCTCCTGATTACGCACCAGCTCAGTTGCATTGTATAACGCATCTTCATGCTCATATAAGTCTACGGGGGACGATTCGACTCGCTTTCTGATTCTCCCCCTTTTTGCTCCCCCCAATCCCACCTGTAAGCATTGGCGTCGCGGCTTTCCAAGTTCCAGCAAACCAGTTGCTTGGCAAGTCTTGCCAGCCGTACTCGAAGAGAGCAGGCCCTTTATTCAACTCCCCTCTCGGATCTGGCTCGGCGAACCCTGTAACCGCTGCCATCCATGAACAAGTTGCCTTCAATGACTGATACTACTGGTCCCATCCAAGTCGGTGCACCGCGCGCCAGGCATGATATTTGTATGATACCTCTATCCTGTAAACTCTCGGGAGCGCCATATTGTGACGCTACTCTTTTCCTCAGTTAATCTCACGTACTCGAGCCAGAAGCAGAGAGCCTTTGAGGGTTACGAGAGGTGGGTTGTCTTCGCCGGCTTACTTCGATCGGGGATATCCACGTAATACCATCACGCAGAAGAATGAAGCTGCTACAAGAAGTATTGGAAAACTGGGCGTCCAACATCAGAGAGATCAATACGGATATGGTTTTGGCCGATGCGATTGAGGAACTTCAGGACAGTTTACGTGACGTTTCGAATGCTATGCGAAGAATCGTTCGCCCGCTCTGGGGAGACGCGACACCTTCAGAAATGAAAATGTATGTGTTCCCTGGAACCATACCGCATCACTGTGACTAAGATCCCCTTCCTAGTGGTCAAAAAGACCAACATTTATCTGACGCTCTTCCGGAAATACTTGAAGGACTGGCGCAGGCCGTCGACGAGTTTATCTCGGGTATGAGTACTCTGCCATTTTTGGGTCACATTCAACGTCGCGTCGTGGAGAAGGTGCATCGGTCGCTACTCGACTTCAACCGAGACCTGTTGTATTGGAGTATCAATTTACGCCAGTTTTCTGGTGGGTCCTCGACATGTTGTCTGCTGCTCGCCAATTTAATGTGTGTTGCTTTAAGGCCATTTGTATAGAAATGCTCTCCGTCACCACGTATCTACAGTAGCTGACCACATGTCAGATCATTTTGACAACGTGACAAAAGTGCTCAAAGAATTCCTTGACTATGGTAAGTGACCGCACATTGACACTGGAATCTCACATTGACCACCTGCAACAGGTCTGTACATGATCAGGTTTTACGAACTACGCCCAGCATTTCAAAATTTGTCAACAGTCGCCACCCTCTTCGCTGGAGTGTCTGCATCCAGCATCCAGTTTAGGTGATTCAAAGTGTTCTTGTAGCTATGCTCGAATGCTGAAGCTGAGCTGTGAAAATGACGTTAGTTACGATGGCAGCCACAAGACAACATTTCAAGCTGTTGAGTTTTTGTGGATACTTTCGCTTTGCTTTTCTATTGCCAGTGCCATCGGTAGTCAAGCGAGTTATCAGTGAGTATTTTGAGATTATTACCTTGGCCTCAGACGTTTAATTGACTTGAATAACATAGATTGTCTTCGGCTGTGTACATCAAATCGGATGCGATACCCCCATTGTGGGTCTCAGCATGGATTGCGACCGCCCCTTTTATGTTCCTACTCATATCGGTGGGATCGTCAGTAATCCATTTTGTTGTTTGCACTCTTTTTTAACAAAAATATCTGCGCCAGGTTCGCTTTAGGCATCGCCCTCTTCACATTTTTGAAGTTTGACAATGCTAGATACGCTCCCGTCTTAGTAACCATTGCTTTAGCAACATGGGTCATGGGGTCAATCTGCGCGTACATGTGGTTCTTTATCGATCTGAATCTTGGATCTATTGCAGAGAAGTGGGCCGGGGTACGCAGACGCACCCCAACACCGCTGAGACGCACCCAACATGCACTTTTTATCGGTCTCCAGGTGGATGATATAGAAAAGAATCATCTAGCTCGCCCTAATTCATGGGATTGGGTGGTACCCCCTGTAGCCAATCAACCTCTTCCCCCAAGACAGCCGATCAGACGCAAGATCTTTGAACCTACACTGTGGGACCGCCTAGTACCCCTCCTGTGGAAGCTGGGCAGTGCACACCCTGAGCACAAAACAAATGACAGATGGCGGAGGCTCATCATGCGCATAGTCGAGCATAATCGCACATCAGGTCCTGGCCACGACCATGCTCTAATTAGGTGGGAAAATAATTGGAGGAGGATTGATAGCAACAGGATGGCGTT